ATTATAAAGTCCCTGTTTACAGAGTCTCCATTCCAAATGAGGAAAACAGCAAAAAAGTGAGAAAGAAGAGATTTCAAACAGTGACGAGAAGCAGGAAGGAAAGCGTGAGAGGTGAAGATGGTGTGTGCACATGATTGTACTATATGACTGAACATAAACTCTGAAGACACGATAGCATGGCTGATGTGACATGGGACACAGTGATGTGTGAAGAGCTACGATATGAAAATATGAAGTGATCTGATATATGGAGATGTAATACGATCTGAGATACGCTATGATTGAAAGGCACACTGTGATACGGTAATAGGATTGTGATGTACAGGGCGATAGGGTAGCATGAAATTATATGATACACGCGTGTATGAAAATACATGATCGACAAGACGATGAAAAATGCTGGCATGAAGACATCATGGCATAACTGGATGATATGATGGGATGGTATGACATAGTGATAAGCTGCTATGACACGATGGTATATAACATGATGTGACATGATGCTGTAGGACATGAAGATTTGACTTACGATGCTGATGTAATATGATATGGTGATGTATGATACTGAGGTGATATATATGACGGTATGTGATACGTGATATCACATGATATGATGACAATATGGAATGGTATAGTTGTATAATGCCATGATATGATATAATCTATAATTAAATGACATATATAATAACATTATATTAAATGATGGTACAATACGAAGATATGATAATATATTATTGACTGATATGCTACAATGCAATGGTGTGATGTGATACAATGATACAAAATGAAATTATATGACATAATATATGATATATGATGATATATGACATGATGGTATATATGATATATGATGATATATGACATGACGGTATATATGATATATGATGATATATGACATGATGGTATATATGCTATATGATGATATATGACATGACGGTATATATGATATATGATGATATATGACATGACGGTATACATAATACAATATGATGAGGTGATGTATGAGATGGCAATACAATATGTAACACATAGCAATGCAATGTGATATTATACAACAATATGAAATAGTACAATATATGAAATCATGAGATATAATTGAATTATATATAATGATACAATATAACATGATGTGAAACCATGAAGACATTATATATTATTGAACGGTATGCTACAATATGATGGGGTGATATGACACGATGCTATAAATGAAATGATATGTGATAATGCTATAATATGCCATATGATGATATGACATTATATGTGGTGTGATGGTGTGATAATATGAAGATGGTATGGTGTATGACCGTGTGTGACATCAGCTTCCTATGGATGTCTTTTTTAGGATTTATTTTATTTTTAACAACTGTGTGTGTGTGTGTGTGTGTGTGTGTGTGTGTGAGTTTGTACGTGTTACTGCAGTGCCCATGGGGGCCAAAAGAGGACATGTGATCTCCTGAAGCTGGGGTTATAAACTGTTGAAAGTGACCAGATGTGGGTGGTGGGAGCAGTGCCCAGGTCCTCTGCAAAACACGCTCTTAACTCCTGAGCCATATTTATGTGTGTGGTGACCTAAGCTACAATCAAATAAAGACCACAAGGGGAGTATGAACAGTGAGGAGAGCCCATCGTGGAGATGAAGGAAAGAAATGGCTTTTGTGAAGAAATTTTAACAGAAATATTTTTTGTTATTTGAGATAGGGTTTCGTGTAGCCCATAATATATAGTGTAGGCTCGACTTAAACTCCTGATCCTCCTGTCTCCCTCACAAATAATGGGATCACAGGTATGTCCTACCACAGACAGGGGTTGTAGAGCGTAAGACAGAGGGGTCAACAGAAGAGGAAGGTGAAGGTCGGCCTCGTGGAGATAAAACAGATGCAGTGCCAAAGCTTGACTCTGCATCACTTCCTCAGCTGACGATTTGGATAGAATTGTTTTAAGATTTCTTAGCACACGTGATCTTTGAATACACAAAAACAAAAAGGAGCCAAGTTTTTCTGAAAAACCACTCAGTTTTGGCTACTGCAAAATGAAATCTTAAAAATAAGCCGGGTGTTGGTGGCACACGCCTTTAATCCCAGCACTCGGGAGGCAGAGGCAGGTGGATCTCTGTGAGTTCAAGACCAGCTTGGTCTGTAAGAGCGAGTTCCAGGATAGGCTCCAAAGCCACAGAGAAACCCTGTCTCAAAAAAACAAAAAATAAATAAATATGCATTAGGCTGGTGTGGTTTGGGTGACCATTTGAGCTCTGCCATCCTTCCATGAAGGAACGGATCTGGCTACAAACCGAACCCCTCCAGGTTTGAATTTAGGTGGTGAGCACACATGAAGTTCTCCAGCTCTCACTCACTCACCCTTCATTAGCTGGCTTGTCTGCAACAGGGGCTCTCTCTGTCTCCTTGAATTTGCCATCCCCCTGCATCACCCTCCCACGGGGCTAGGATTACAGTACCCTGCTCCCATGCCTGACTTGGTCTGCAGTTTCTCAATGCTGTGTGCAGCACTCCCTCCCTCTGAGGGCTTGGTAGGGTATCAGCTCCCACTGCATCTGCTGAATGCTAAAAGAGGAAACAGAAGAGAGAGGAAGAGAGAGAAGGCAGAGAAATATAGAAATATAATCTCTATTTGCTTTTCCTCTGATGATGCATTTTACTGATTGATATAATTGATATAATTGATATAATTCCTAATTTGGGAAAAAAGTTTACTGTTTTATTATAACTTGGAAAGCAATGTATTATTAAAGATTCAGAAATTATGTCAAAGCATGAACAAATAAAAAGGCTCACTGATCATTCTAGCACAAGGAGTTGTATTTTACATAAATACCTCTGAACATAGTGCTATGTGTATCTTTTAAAATAAAGATTAGAGTATCATTATGGCTTTTACACATTGTGTGCCGAGTCTCTCCCTCCCTGTGTGTTCCTTCCCTTGCAGAGTCTCTTGGTTCTGAAGACCTCAGGGGGAGCACAGTGAGTACTGTATGGAAAGTGGCCACGATCCAGAGCACCGGAGCCCAGAAAGGAGCTCCAAGTCTGGACAGGAGGGCTGATGCACAGGACAATCAGAGCTTGAGAGTGAGGAGGTCATGGGGGCCAGGTTCAGCCAGGCTCAGGGGTACAGGTGAAGGTCCTCACACAACAGAGTGACATAGGATAGAGCCAAAGGATCAGATCAAAACAAAACCATAAACACGGTATAGAAAACATCACTTGCCATACCAGTAACAACGCTAAATGCTTCAGCATTGACTTAAGAAATAGGAGAGGAATAAAAGACCCTGGAGCTTGTACACAAATGGAGGAAGAAAATCTCAGGACACCAGGAGGGAAGGGAGGAAAGGAAGAGAGCTTCGATGCTCTGCAATCCAAGGCAGAACCTCAGAGGGATGCCCAGGCCCAAGGGGCATGTGTGCCAAAGAAACAGCACAGTAGAGATTTTATTTATAATTACTTATTCCATGTATTTATAAGTAGAATTCTTATTTAAAATCAATTCCCTAGGCAAACTACATTACTATTAAATGCAGTAGTCACCAACTGATACTCCTAGATTATATCTGATTTTTCATTTCTGTAAAATTGCTGCCACCATTAAGTTTTTTTTTCCACCATTAAGTTTTGTTACTATAAAATCTCTTAGGCCAGATTGCAGACTAGGTGAAGACTAAAAATATTTTAATGCTCATAATTAGCTGAATCATTGACTGTCCAGCACATACTATTAAATCATATACTAAACTCCCGACCAAGATCATTGTTTCCTGAATCCTGAAATATAAATAACCAAAGAACCTATCAAAGGTTAAGGTGTAAAAGCCCTTGTCTTTGGTCATGGTAAATGCTCAGTAAACATTAACAGTGGCCAAGACCATGACCATGACCATGACAATGAAAACATGGGATCACCAGCAATCGCCAGATGCCTTTCTAGTTTCCTTTTTATCACTATTATTTTCTACCCATCCAAGCCTATATTTCTTCTCTTTCCTCCACTTCATCCATAATTAATCTACACGGCTAGGAAGATGGCTCAGTGCTTATGGTGTAAGCTTGAGAACCTGAATTTGAGTCTCCATTATCCACATACAGCCAGGTGCAGTGGCTCACATCTGTAACTCCGCACCCCTGCTGTGGGGTGGATGCCAGCACCCCTGCAGTGAGGTGGATGCCAGCACCCCTGCAGTGAGGTGGATCCCAGCAGTACTGGGAGGTAGAGAAAGGAAAATCCATGAGCCAGCATGCAGGGGAAAGCAACAAGGAAACCTTGTCCTAAGTTAGGTTGAAGGCAAGGAATAGCTTTGAGGCTGACCTCTGACCTCAACATGTGAGCCATACATGCATGTGCCTGCACATGCGCACACACACACACACACACACACACACACACACACCTATTATGCACAAAATTATATAATAATACAAAACTACGTAAGGCATGACTTTGCACAGGGGGAGAATCTATGAGAGTTTTTAGGCTCACTTCCCCTTAGTTTAAATCCCTTGTCTCCATTCATGTATAATGTCGAAGCCTTCAGTGTATAACAGGCCTTTGAATGATTCAGATTTCACACAAATTACAATGCTAAAAAAAACCTCTAAAACGCCTGTTGCCACAAAAAGTTATTAACAACATCAGGCTCTTATTAATAAATTGGCATATTATTTATTATTAATTATTTATTATTAAATAAATTTAATTGGTTCCACAATTTAAAGTAAGATAACCAGTTAAACCACTCTTACAAAATCCTACTAAGCCATATTTGAAGTAGAACACTACTTTGAAATTTGGAAACAGGAATATACTTTTCTCCCAAAACTGCCATGTTGAGAACCAGTTGCTGAACGTCGGCCTCCAACTTAAACAACAAACAACAAATGGCCTGGCTTTACTTCTTCGTGAGGTCTAGATTGGGAAGCTGCTTGAACGGCTCTCAGCCCCAACCCCAGTTACTCCAGGAAATGTGTATCTGAGTCAGCGCAGACCCCACTCACCCACTTCAGCCAGCGCCCTGATGCAGGACTCCACCGAGGCCTTCTGGGCTGGGCTGGGCCAGGTACAGTTGTAGATTCTGAATGCAGACTGCAGCAGCTGGATGAAGACCGGCTGGTGTGTCTGAAACAGAAGGGCACTGGTCACCCTATGTCACTGTGCCGCCATCCCTAAGTCACACCATGCCTGAGGAGGGAGCAGAGCTACACCTTATCAGACAGGACCCCAAAAAATAAAGTACCAACAGTGTTGTGTGCTTCAATGCCACCCATAAACACCTGACTCCACAAACTGTCTTGTGTGTTAATAGCATGAGAGGAAACACGCCAAGCACTACAGAAAATTGGTCACTTGTGTTTTCACTATATTTGTGTGTGAGTGTGTGTGTGTGTGTGTGTGTGTGTGAGAGAGAGAGAGAGAGAGAGAGAGAGAGAGAGAGAGAGAGAGAGAGAGAGAGAGAGAGAGAGAGTATGTGTGTATATGTGGGTGTGTGTAGGCTAGAGGCTGGCCTCAGCTATCTTCCTCTGTCACTCTCCACCTTATATTGGTGAGCAGGGTTTCTCACTGAGCCTGAACCCTGTTTGGCTAGACCTTCAGGCCACTGAGCTCTACCGTCCACCTGTCCCTTCAGGGGTCCACTACCACATTCAGTGGAGGGAAAGCCAAGGTCAGCGTCTGCCAGATGTTATCCCTCACACCAACAGACACCAAAAGAGACATTAAACCTTAGACATTCGGAAATTCATCAAATAAAACCGTGTGTTGCCAACTTACAATTCTTAATGAAATGTAGGTGTTATGTAAAGAAAAGGTTATTTAGAGACTAATGACCAAAAGCTGCACATGTTCACCACACAAATTTTCTGATACTGTCGATTGTGGGTTGGCAGGATCTGCAGGTAGGAACTCACAGACACCGGGCTGAGCATTTGTGTTCTCCACACAAACACAACTAAATGATGCTTCATGTGACCCTGAGGAGCTACGCTGAGAATCACTTTTCTTAGCCATTAATTTTCCTTTTGAAACACAAATTTTAACAAGACACCCCACGGATACACCATGTTTGGCTGTCTCCTTATCTGTGGACATTTAACGTATAAAAGTGCAAATACTTTTAAGTATCTATAAAGACTTGGAAACCATAATATGCCAACCTTTAGGATAAATTACTAACATGCAGCAGCTGGCCCGGGTGCCCACCCATCGGAACAATCAGCCATTATTTCAACACTTGGCCTCTGCATACAGTTGTGAAATATCTTGTAGCGTATAGAAAGAGGAAATGACCTAGTTTTAAGAGGTCTCTCAATGTTGGAGAAGAGATCAGCTAGTGGGAGAGACGGTGGAAGGACATGGGGCTGTGATCTTTCAATCTGATTAAATGATGCGTAAACTGGATTCTTTGCTCAAGCGCAAATTTCAAAGTGACTCAGAACAGGCAAAATGGAAAAAGCTAAGACACATAAAACACGTGAAAACAGCCGCTAAAATAAAGTTTGGTCAGGGCAGAAGGGCACAATGTGGAGAAATGTAAGAGACAGCGATTATCCCGAGTGGCAGAAAGGACATCCGAGCCAGGTTACAGCTTCCCGGCGCGGCGCGTGCGGCTACCTGGAGGCTGGCACTGTTATCCGAAAAGGGCGAGTTGAAGAAGCCGCTGACGATGTTCATGACCGACTCCGTCACACACCTCTCCAGGAAGACGTCTGCGTGTTTCCTGTCCGTGGTGGTATTACAGACCTGGAGAGGAAGCAAAGCAAAGCACGCCTCTGCATTATAAGTTGGTAGCGGAACCTTCTAAGAGTTTCCCAGAGTTCTGGGCTTGCAGAGCTCCTTCAGATGGAAGGATTTCTGTCCAAACCCACTGTCTGTGGCAGCTTCCCCTCCAAGCCTCGATATCATCCCAGCCTTCACTCCTCCAGGCCGTGTTAACTTGCTTTTTTCTTTATTTTTGCACGCCAACCTCTCCCTTGGTCCACAAACTAGATTTTGATGAAAACTTTCCACTCCCTGAGAGGAAGCAGAAGAGTTAAGAGCCATCCTGAGTACAAAGGAATGGATGATAAGAATTCGTGGTGAGCCTGGGTCTACACACATTTTCCCTTGTAGTACCTGGGCCCCGTGAAGAGGCGTTGAGATTCCCATGTGGGATGTCCTCTACGGGCCGACGGGTTCAAACACGTGGTGCTGTTTTGAACAACGTGGAGGCATGCCCAACATTTCCATGTGTTGCCAGGACACCGTCATCTATAAAGTTTACCCTACACATCCATGCTATCCACTTAAAGCTTATGAATTTTGTGTTCACAGCCACAGGTCAGCTGCAGCTGTGAAGCAGAGACTTCCTGGAGCAGGTGACTCATTCACTGACATCTGGGCACTGAGGTTAAAAGCCCCACCCACTTTCTGTCTTTTCTCTGCTTCCTGATTGGTCAAGGTGTGTCAAGCCCAGGCTGCACAGGTCTGCCCATCTGCTGTCACCTGCTGTCCTCCTGTCCCCTCCATAGACTGTACCTCAAACTGTGAGCTGAAGTAAGCCCCGCCCCCAAGTGTCTTCTCAGGCGTTTGATCACAGAAATAGGAAAAGCAACTAATTCAGGGTAGAAATGGAGAAATAAATCTAACTCCTTCCCACACTTTTTTAACCACGGCCTCCGCAGAGCAGGCTGAGGGCAAGACTGGTACTGGAGCTGGGGGGCAGACAGACCCTGCCGCCCTTGCTCTGATCGTTACATCTGACTAAACCGGGCCCTTTCGCCAAACTGTATTTCCAAATGTCAGACTGACAAATTGCGAAAGCTAAGAGTTATGATTGAAAACACAGGAAATATGGACGCAAAACGACGAGGTGGGGGGAGCAGCGGGTGTGAGAAAAGACTGGAAACCGAGGCAGACAAAGGAAACAAATACAGACAAAGGGTGAGAAGCCAGGGATGGCACCCATGTTTTCCTGATGTCCTTGGGCAACACAAATTTTTCTGTGATTTTTGACTTTTCAGTAAGGTGCTTCATCAAAAGAACAAGTGGATGTGGTTTAATCTGATGCCACTCTACAACTTTTCACACAAATTCATAAAAGGGAAAACTTCTCTTCTCAAACCATGCGTTCCGGCCCTTCTGGCTTGGAGAACCGGGCTGTTAAGTGTGGAAGGAAGGAAGGGTTTGTTTATGTCCTAACTCCCTTTCCATCTCTTCCTCCATAAATGACACACACTGATATAATGTTGACAGAACAAAAAAGGGTTTCCATGTAACTAACATTGTCAGACCATTGGGGAGAACTGTATGATTTAGTTAAAGGAAATAAATTATGTCTAATTATGGAATTTTGACATTGTCCCAGCAAGCAACAGCTACTGCATGAAGAAGATGTTCACAGCAGTCCAACCCCTATCCACAGGGGCTATAGCCCGTGACTGCAGAACAAGTACCAAATCCTATAAATGTTTTTATCATATATATATACATATATATCTGTATATATGTATATATATATATATGACAAAATTTAATTCACAAATGTGGCCCAGAAATAGATTAATAACATAAATTTTAAAATTATATTACAATATGAGTGAATGTAAGTGAATGTTTTCTTCTCTCCTATCTTTCTTCTCTCTCTCTCTCTCTCTCTCTCTCTCTCTCTCTCTCTCTCTCTCTCTCTCATTCCATTCATCTTTTCACTTACAAGAAGCACCACACAGATCTTTGGCACACATGAGCTTCCATCACCACCACTCTATTTGGGTCTCTGATTGAGTAAATCGAGGATCACCTAGACACAGCCACTGCAGTGACTGTGGAGAGGTGACACAGAGCTGTGACGTCACTAACATTTCTGGAATCTCCATCTCTTATTTTTGAGCTTCCGACAAGTGACGACATGACGAGAAACTCTGTATGAGAGATGACCACTGAGGAAGTCTCTGAGGTAAGTAAGTCCCATATATGACTCTTACTTCCGTCTACTTAACTTTAGGTTTGGCTGTATTTGTGCATTACACTGGGGATTAAAATCAAACATGGTCCCAGAACTCCTATCAAGCTGATTTGTCCAGGACAAGCATCACTTAGGATTTTACTTCTTTCTGCCTCTTCCAAACACTGAATATTCCTCATGGCTAAAACTGCCCTTTTGTTGAGCAGGTGGCAGACCAGCGCTCGCGCTCCACCATCAGCCTGCAGGACCTTTGCCCATGCAGTGGGGGATGGAATCTCACACTGGACTTACTGTACATCGTGCTGCACTGCTTGGAACTAGACACTGGCAAAACACCAGTGAGTAGAGTAACGGAAGTTACCTAGATGAGGCTGTACTCAAATCCTGGGTAATGAAAAGCCTGTTTCCCAAACCACGGGGACCTATTCCTATCCAAGCTTGAATGAAAGCATCCTCACTTTACATCCTACACTGGTCCTACTGAGGGTAGTCACTAAATGGAGGAAGACTCTTTTATTGTTACAACCGTGAAAAACTTACCAGGAAACAAAATAAAACAGAAAAAAAACTAATAGTGTGTTCTTTATCCAGTCTTAAAATTTACTGTTATTGCCTCTTTAATAAGAGCAAAGGTTGGAAGTGGCTCAAAATGACATCACAACAAATGACCTTTTTATGTATGAGAGGTGACAGCAGATGGGCAGACCTGTGCAGCCTGGGCTTGACACACCTTGACCAATCAGGAAGCAGAGAAAAGACAGAAAGTGGGTGGGGCTTTTAACCTCAGTGCCCAGATGTCAGTGAATGAGTCACCTGCTCCAGGAAGTCTCTGCTTCACAGCCATATCTGACCTAGCCTCCCGAGTGCTCACCTAGCCTCCCGAGTGCTCACCTAGCCCTTCTCACACCTTTTGACCCACCCACACCTCTAGAATGAGTCTTGTGTTTCTCACTGGAATTAACTACTATACCTGCAGGTTATAATTATTTCTGTCAATTTAATAATACCTAAAATTACTTTATTTCATGTATCTTGCACTGCTCCTTGGTTTGCTTTCCATCTCTGTGATAAAGACCACGACCAAAAGCAACTTGGGGAGGACAGGGCTTATTTCACATTGTAGATCACAGTCCATTACTAACAGAGGTCAGGGTGGAACTCAAAGCAGGGACCTGGAGGCAGGAACTGAAGCAGAGGCCATGGAGGGATGTGCTGCTGCTTACTGGCCTTCTCTCCATGGCTTGCTCAGCCTGCTTTCTTATACAGCTCAGGACTACCAGGCCACAGGTGACACCAATCACGGTGAACTGGGCCCTCCTCCATCAATCACTAATCAGAGAATGCCCCAGAGACACGCCTACAGGCTGCTCTCCTGGAGGCATTTGCTCAATTAAGAGTCCCTAGATATATAGATATGTCTAGGTTTGTGTCAACTAACACACATTGTTTACAGGACTGGACATTTTTCATGTAGCCATCCCAGTCATGTGTTCTGTTATGCATAAGCAACTCAAACCCACCAAACCCCAACCCTGCCGTACTGATCAGCACAGCTAAGCCTAGATACCCGGGCCCTGCAGTACAGATCAACAAAGCTTTTACCACACCCAGACATCCAGGCACTAGGAGGCCACTGTACTCACAATCCACATTCCCCCAGCTATTGCTCAATCTGGTGTCAGGTCCTGACCACAAACATATGGTGCCAATTTTGTGAGCATGAAGAATATAAAAGTTACAGAGCTGAGGGCCTTCCACCCAGATTTCAAAGAAAGCCTGGGAAGGCAGGCTACACTGGGAATAAAGGGAGGGTCTCTACAGGCGGGTCCTGAAATGGCAATGTGTGGAGCTGAGGATGAAACCTAAGCCTCTCTAGACACCCAAGGACATTAGCAATACCAGGAGCATCTGCTGAGCAGGTCACAGGCACATGGGCTAAAATGGCAAAGCTATATGGGTGGGGCCTCCCCACCCTGGGAATCCACAGCACACTACCGCTTGCCCTGAACCAGATACACAGCTACAGAATTCAATGCTTGCCCTGCTGTGTCTCAGTCTTGCTTTGGTAGGCTCCTTCCTTGCTGCTCCTATCCCAACCTTATGGAATGGAAGTATATGCTCTATTTCACTGTGGAAGTATGCAACATTGATTCCACACAGGCTCACAGCTAAGAGTCCTTCCTTGGGCCTCAGAGAAAACTCTGAGTTTGGACTCTGGAGTGACATTGGAACTGTTAATGCCATGGAAACTCTCAGGGATGGATTGAGGGTATCTTGTGTTGTGAGGTGGGCATGAAAGGCATGTTAAACTTTGAATATAAAATATCCATCCAAAAAAAATCCATCCAAAGGTCTATTTGTAGTTGGCAGTAGCAAGCAGGACCCAACAGGAGGACATAGGTCACCTGGGGTTATTTCTTGTCCTCTCTTTTTTCTTGCCCTGCTTCCATGACTTATCTGTCATAAGGTGGACAGCTGCTTCCTCCACAAGCCCTCCCAACTGTAATGGATGAACCTCCAAAGCTGTGAGCTAAAATAAATCCTCTTCTAAGTGCTTTATGCCAGATATTGCCCATGGAGACAAAAAACAAAAATAACTAAACCAGTATCTGACAGTAGAGGAAGGACAGGCATGCAGATTCTGGGCCAAGCCTCTCAGAAGGCAGAGATGCTGGCATGAAAGTGCCCAGAGAAACAGAACAGAGACCACTGTCAACAGGACAGAGAGCCAGCTGCAAGGAGAGCAGGAGGCTAGGAAGACATGGGGAAGGAAGGCACAGAAAAGGTGGAAAGTCTCGGA